CATTTCTTCAAATTTGTCAACTTTTGCTTATTTTATTCGATCTCACCAACTTACATCACAATATCAAAATCACACATCTAATTATTTATCAATTACATAAACATTATATCATTAATTATTTAATTAACCAAAAAAATTATACTTTATTAATAACAAATTACTTCTTAAACAAAACTATTAAATATAAATTAGGCAAACGTGCATTGCACGTTGCTTGCACCTAGTTATTAAAAAAGTTTGAAAGAAGCAAGAGGAATCAAAACTACACAAAGAAAGTAATCTAGGGGATACATAACTAAATTTTGAAATGGTTATGACGAGAGATTCGTGATTTTTTATTTCATAAGGTATAACCACTAAAAAGTTAATTAATTAATTATAATATATATTCTAGCAGTTCAAAATTACTCGAGTTATTATTTTCATTTTATTTAATAAAATAGGTTAAATGAACTGCGAACTAGTCATTCATCTCAATTAGGTCACTTAACTTTCATTTTTGTATATATAATCACTTACCTTCTATTCGTAACAAACATATGACCTAATTTCGATTCATTTATAAATCCGTCACTTTGTTTATCACAGTCAATTTCACGAACATAATATGCTGATCTGAATATTGAAATTAATGAATAACAAATGCGCAATATCATGCTTTTAATTCATACATTATTTAAAATACTTTTTAAGATGAACGATGTTCATTGTTGTGTAATGTGGACATATACGTTAATTCTACAGTGGTTTTAATTTTCACATACGTTATTAAATTAACAAGGTTGTGGACATAATGATTAATGACCGAATTTGCGAATAAATTGAAATTAGGTGATATTGTTGTACCAAATTAACTATAAATTAAAATTAAAAAATCTAATTGCATCAAATGAAAGATAGGTGACCTGAATGCAACTTCGCTTAAAATTGAACAATCAATAATGTATTTAACTCAATCAAATAAGTAAATTCTGGGAACTTCTTCGATTTTCTGGAATTTTTTTGACTGAAGTTTCCTTTTTATCCTAAAGTCACAAAGTGACCAGACCAAACAAAAGCAAAAAATAAATCTTTTCTTTATAAAAAAAAAAAGTCATCAATCATAGGGACCCACAAAAAATTACTTTGTTTCGCGTACGTGTCTACAAACAGTACCCAATCAGAAATTGTGAAAAACAAACATACAAAATCCAACCGTCATTTCCTAAACGTACGGCTGCGATCAGTTTTCCCAATTTCCAAAAGATGAAAAAAGCAATGATGTCATTAGACGGCGATGTTGACGCGCCGTAGGGCCTCTGCGGTTCTGCACAGTACCTCGTAGGGCCCCCGGAGAGAGCGGGAGGCTCATGACGCAATTTTGTCAAATGGAGGTCATTGGGGCCCACCATTTTATGGTTGACACGTCATTTAGTGTCACTAAAGACGCGGACCACACTGCATCCGATGTAGACTAATGTAAGATAGACTACTGTAGGCGGATACAGCGTAGCCTTTTCACTGTTGTTTTTGCCATTATCACGTTAGAGGAAAGAAGAGTCAAGGGTCGGTAGCCCCCACGGGCTGTAAAAATAATTTATTAGGAGGATTTGATATATTTGATATTGATAAATTTCAAACGAATTGAAGAAAATAAAATTATACTTTCAAAATTCAATTTCTATTATTAAAATTGTTTATGGTGATGAACTATTACAAATGTGTAATATTTTTATACTACATTTAATACATAAGAGTTAATTGCTAATATATGAATTTAAACACCCATTAACATTCTCAGATATGAATATAAATAAATTCATCTATAATAACTCTAAATTCATGCAGATTAAGATTCATCAAATCAAGATTCATTGAGTCTGAGTTAAAGTGAATGTCAATTAATAATATGAAATTTATATCTGACAAGAATTTTGTAATATTTCTTACATATTGAAAAATGAATTTTTATGAAATAATTAAATTATAGTAAGATTAAAATCGTTCAAAAAATAATTCTTAATCGATATTTAATATATTATAGATGTTCCTTCTAATATGTGTCAGCGTGCATCAATGGCGGACCTTGGGGGGGTCATGGGGACACGTGCCCCCAAACTTTTGAGAATTTTTTTTTTTTTAAAGTCATGTTTGGAATCGATTGAAATCTAAATTTTAATCTAAATCAAAGTTAACAATTAATTTTAATAACATATTTCATAGAATCCATAACTATTTTAACTTTTATCAAAATTTACTAAAATTTTGATTTTAATCTCCACCAAACAATGTATTAATTTTAATAACATATTTCATGGAATTCATAAATATTTAACTTTTATCAAAATTTACTAAAAATTTGATTTTAGTCTTCACCAAACATGGGCAAAATCACAATAAATTTGAATTTCGATAACATTTTAATTTTAAAAATTCTCCGACGATCGTACAATAATCGAATCTACAAATTGCTTATGTCATCTCAAAACTTATTTCGAGAACTACATTATGCGCATATCGAATAGTCCAAACAAATATCAAAAATAGTTAAAAATACGTTAAGCGTGAGTTTTAAAGAAAGACGTCTAAATCGCATTTTAAAAAAAAATCAATTATTTCATTAACATTTATTATTTGCGATACAAATTTCTTAATATAATTTTCATCATTTTATTAGGAAATTTTATGTGGAATATAACATAAAAATTTTTCGAAATTTTACATCCAAAAAAGTTATATCCCATGTAAATTTTTGGATGCAAACTTACACGGAATATGATTTTTTTGGACGTAAATTTTCGATTGTAAAATTTCTTTCAAATTCTTTGCAAGTTCGATTATGTCCCCTAACTTTAATGCTTTGCGTTCGCCGCTGCCGTGCATGTGAAATTGAAGTTAAAGAGAAAAGGCTCATACGAAAGGCAACATCAAAGAGAATACTTTAACCATTGTGAAATCTAAAGATTTTTGTTTCTTTATGAAGGGGCAGGAGAATGGAGGTACCAATCCTTGATCTTAGTTGTGAAAATAAATTTTTTATTATTATTAATTAGGCCAAGANCTGTTTGGTAGAGATTTTTTTTTTTTTTTATTTTTATTTTTTCCTTCTCCCTCTTCTCAAATTTTGAAGGATGCATCCTTTCTCTCTCTCTCTCTCTTTTAATAAAATAAATATTAATCTATGCAAATCGCTGGTTTAGAAAATATAAAATACACCACACTTTCCATTTGTGAAAACCTTTACCAATTTTTTTTTCTAAAAAACACACATTAACATGATCCTGAGTTTAAAAAAAAATGAAGTAATGAAATGGGATTATTTTAAATATTTTTTTTTTTATTATTGATTTTCACACACAACTTGTACCAGTCTGAATGATACTTGTACATTAATAAATAATAAGAAACGAGTAGAGCTTTAATTAAAAAAGAAAAAGGAAATACTAAATTGGTTATGTTTTTCCTTTTACACAACGGTAATATCTTAAAAAATAATTAACCCTTCTGCAGTCAGTCATCAATCAATCTCCTCTTTAAATCTCACCTTACCTCTCCTCTGCAAATCCCCCCCTCTTCTCTTCTCCTCTCCTCTCCCCAAACCTTGTTCTTCTCTCTGTTTTCTTCCTTCTTTAGCATGTGAGTACAGTGTGGAGGGTGGAGAATGGCATATATGTGTACTGACAGTGGAAATCTAATGGCTATTGCCCAGCAAGTTATCCAGCAGAAGCAGCAACAAGAACAACAGCAGCAACACCACCAACAGCATCAACTCCTTACCATTAACCCTTTTTGTCTAGGTACATGGCCCACCACCACCGCAGGCGCCGCCCATCATAACCAGAGCCCCCCTGCCACCACCTCTATGAGCTATGGCCTTATTGGAACTGCTTCCTTCACCGATCCTTTTCAGCTTCCGGGCGCTGGACCAGAAGCTATTGAACCTGGCTTTCACTTCCCCACTCTGGAACACAACTCAACTGGATATCGATTCTCGGATTTGTGTGGTGGCCCAGGTGGCGAGTTTGACTCGGACGAGTGGATGGAGAGCTTCATGGGTGGGGGAGATTCCACGGGTAGCTCTAATATCCAATCGAATTGTGAAGCGTGGCAGACTAGCTCAGAGTTTAATCTCTATTCTGCTGATGCCTTCACCAGTTGTCCACCGAGTCGACTCAGTATTAACTCTTCTTCACCTTCCAATGTCAACGGAGTTGTCCTTTCCGAGCCACCACAAATTACAGCTTGGGTCTCTACCTCCTCCCCAACTCCGCCTCCATCTCTTCCACCCGTTGCATCTAGGCCAGCACCCAAAAATGACGCTTCAGTTGCTGGCACCACTACCGGAGCATCTACGAGTTCGGCGGATACTTCATTCTCAAACAAACCAATTTTAAAAGCCTTGTTAGACTGTGCTTGTCTCTCTGTGTCAGACCCAGAAAATGCAGCGAAATCACTGATTCAACTCAAAGGTTCGATCTCCCAGCACGGCGATCCGATTGAGCGAGTATCATTCTATTTCTCTGAAGCTCTTTACTGTAGAATCTTAAATCAGGCAGAAAAGATTCCGACGATATATGATACAACCTCAGAGGAGTATACTTTATCATACAAAGCACTCAACGACGCCTGTCCTTACTCCAAATTTGCTCATTTAACTGCAAATCAAGCAATTCTTGAAGCCACTGAGAGAGCCAAGAAAATCCACATAGTTGATTTTGGGATTATTCAGGGAGTCCAATGGGCGGCACTTTTGCAGGCTTTGGCCACCAGATCCGCCGGAAAACCCGAAAGAATTCGGGTTTCGGGTATTCCGGCGCTGTCGCTGGGAGATTCTCCGGCAGCGGCCCTTTTGGCTACTGGGAATCGGTTGCGTGACTTTGCCAAGCTGCTGGATCTGAATTTTGAGTTTGAACCTGTTTTGATACAGTTTCAAGAGCTTAACGGGTCGAGTATCCGGATCGATCCGGATGAGGTCCTTGCTGTGAATTTCATGCTCCAATTATATGGTCTGCTTGATGAGGGTAATGAATGTGTTGAAGCAGCTTTAAAGCTTGCAAAATCACTGAATCCGAAAGTGGTTACACTGGGTGAGTACGAAGTTAGCTTGAATCGGGTCGGGTTTCTGCACCGTTTCAAGAATGCCCTCAAATACTATACCGCGGTTTTCGAATCACTTGACCCGAAATTGACGAGGGATTCGGCGGAGAGACTGCAAATTGAAAGGCTATTACTCGGCCGTAGAATTGCCGGCATAGTTGGCCCGGAGGAACCGAGAAGCAGACGAGAACGAATGGAAGATAAAGAAAACTGGAGATTGTTAATGGAAAGCGCGGGCTTTGAGCCATTAAAGCTGAGCCATTATGCAATGAGCCAAGCAAAGATACTTCTATGGAACTACAATTACAGCACAATGTACCAGTTGGTTGATTCTTCTCCTGGATTTCTCTGTTTGGCTTGGAACGATGTTCCTCTCCTCACTATTTCTTCATGGCATTGATTGATTAGTCCAAATCAAATTTTATTATTAGTTTTAGAAACAAAAAAAAGACACTATAAATTAACACATTTTGTTAGCTTCAATTTCTTTTCTAGTTTCTATGTTGATATGATTTATTAGTTTAGGGTTGTTATTATGTTTTTTTAACTTTTGAAATTTGTTGTTTATGGTTACTTTGATGCGATAATTGTGCATATGAATATGAATTATTTTACTTTTCAAATATGAACTTGTTGTGGCTACATGAATATCTCTGTCTATTGTAGCCCGTGTAAATTAAATTTTGATAAAGCCAATGAAATTTCTCTCATAAAATGTTTTGTTAATATTTTACGGTGGCACCATGCAAAGGTTAGAATGAGAGTGCCTCTTGCGCCTTAGCCCTTTACTGGACTCCCTTGCGTACCAGTAAGTTATCCAGGCGGGCCCTTCTTCGCTCCCCTTTTAACAAAGCCTCTCTAGGGAGAAATTTTTTCTCCATCAAGTAGCTCGTCGAAGTTTGGCACATGGACAGTTCGGGCATGTTCTTGCGAGCTCGTAAAAGAAGTAACCAAACATCGTCAAGCTCGTGGGATTGTTCGCCATGAGCTCGTGGGTACATGAGCTGAGTCGGCTCGGCCCATTGTCATCTCTAGTTAATATTAAGTATTGACTTCAACTTAAATTTTAATTCCCTCCGAACAACTAGTTTGTGTGGAACGCTAAACATACCAATCTATTATAGTCGACAATGGGTATGTTTCTTTGGATTGTCATTCCTGTAGTCATTGTGAGAATAATTAGTGCATATTTTATTATGGTTGTGTGGTCTATTACATTTGAGTGATGTAAACAAGTGTCTAGTTGCGAGAAAAAAAAAAAAAAGTCATTTTCGTTTCATGTTACAGCAAGTGGTTGCTTCTTACTGTGCACTTGTTTGCTCCTGTTACAATTAGTATTTTGCTTTATAATATTAAGAAAATATTATTTTATTAAGCATTACTTATTTGATTATATCGTTTAGTTTTATCAAGGATGACTTTGTTTGAATTGAAGTGAATAATTATGGACTTTTTATGGAGATAAGGGTATTTATTTAAACTCATGAGAATGGTTTCAGTCTTTCCTCTCAAACTACTTTTCTAATTTACACTTCAATTTACTATGTGTATATAGGATAGTAACATATGCTCAACTGTATTGTGCAACGCAATACAACAAAAACATCACCTATTTTCTTTTTTTAATTCAGTTCGACCATATCGATTATCGTGTCTTAACATTCCAATAGAGGTTCTACATGATCAACATTTGTTCCAAATAACTAAACTATGTCCTTAAATTAATATGTAACACGTTACATCTTTTCCTATATGCAAAATCATGTGATTGTCTCTAAGCAAAATATCATGCAAGTACCTATTCAACGAGGCGATGAAGACATCTACCATCACCTCAACTGCATTTGGTCTTGATGCATTGAGGTTGAGTCCATCGCCACGTCGAAAACATTCTCAAACAAACGTAATTCAACGCAAACATGTCACCTCTACGAGGCGATAAGCATGGATCCAACCCTCGGCCACATTGAATAGGCCTCTGGAGTCCGAGGAGAGTAGGGTTGAAGGTCGATGCTTTATGCTAATCACGATGTAACACTATGAAACACGATATAATTGATATCATATCCCGTAGGAGTGATTGGGGATCAAATCCCTCCTTTCTCATCTTGGTTAGTGTGATAGACATTGAGTTTGAACAATGAGTTGTTGGAATAAAGTCATGTGTCAAATATCCGAAAAGCTTCTATTCATTTCTTTTGCCTATATAAATACTCACTTGGTGACATTTGGTGGTAATCAAGAAAAGGGTTTTTTTCATTTTCACAAATATAATTCTTGATTACCCCTCGAGCGTCGTAGCGTGTAAGGTGGCGGCCTTACCTACATTTACTGTAAGGGGCTTTGATCTTTCATTTTTTAACGCATGTTTTCTAAGTGTGGATGTAACTTACACGTGAAGAAGAATGTAGATCTCTAGGAGAGTTAGGTCCACCCTGATTGCGAGGTCAAAATAACCGCCCTCGGATCGTGCATAACTATTGCGACTTTTATTTTTTATTTTTTGCGATTTTTTTTCAAGTAATAACGAGTGCCCCCAACTTCCTACAAATCGATGTTGTGATGTTTGTGCTCTGATAATCTTTGTAGTTCTAGAACGATGTAAACTCAAATTGGTCGGGGTAGGTCACCCTGAACCTCATTTCTTGCTGGTTAATTAGCCCAGCACTGTAGTGGACCAGCTTAAAGAAAAATTCATTTTAGACAAAAATATTCCTAAATACGGGTATTTAATCCATCTCTTTCTCGGTCGACTCCTCTCTCCCTTCGAGGCAGGCAGCCAAGGCACTCTAGATTTTTCTCTCGTCAATTCCTCCAAATTCAAATTCGAGGAATCCAAACATGCCTAGTTCTAGAGTAATGCTATTCATCCATGGGGATAGAAACACAGTCTACGTGGCGTTAATGTGACATTAAATGAGGATGAATAACATTTCTCCTAGTTCTAAGTACAATAGTTGTGGAAAGCTCGCCGGGTATGTTTACAATGATGGGGCGCCAATAACGAGTAGTCCGGATCAGTTCTAATTTTTTGGAAAAACCCTTGATTTACCAGGATGGGATTGAGGAGAATCAATAGAAGAAAAACCCGTGTTGTTGATTTTGAGGTACAAAATATTGAGATTTTACATCAAAGGAAACATTTTTTAGTGCCATTTGCATTCTGGGTAGTGGGAGAAAAGACTTATTTTGTTGAAAAGAAGATCGGTGGGTGCCGAGGAATTTCAAGATGAGAATTTGATGGGATTTTGAATTGAGAGGCTGCTGGAGTTGAAAGAGTGACGTTTTAACATTTTTTTGTCCCCGTCCGGATTTTTTCCTGAAGCCAACACTCTGCTAAAATATTGCCAGAATAGATAGATCAACCCAAGTAAATATCACCAAAAAAAAATAAAAAAAAGCCCCGAGTGAAAATCATAACAAACTACTCAGGTGTGTATTCAACAAACTGATGGTAAAGGATTTTGAATGCAATATCGTATTGCTTTTGGTATCAAAATCTGAAATGAAATCTGAAGTCATCGTGCATAGATACCAATTTGAAACATAATGGAATCTTATGAGAGGGAGGACTATTTGATGCAATTATAGCACCCATTAACCTATGTTACTCGGACTCGGGTACAAGTGTTAAGTATGTGTGCATATCTAGGAGCCGTATCATTTTTCTTCTAAAACTTAGAATACGAGAATATAGCTAAAAATGATCCAAAGTTTGGACACAATTAAGTGGATACTTCTACAAACATAAAACTCCTAGAATATTACATACAAATAATTTTATGTCTCAAAATCGATTTTATTGCTTTAAAAATCATGGGCCCACTCTTTAGCAATCTCCCTTCCATATTTCTGTCCCATCCACTTTTAAATTGAAGGATCTGACACGGAATTCATACCCATACCCACATCGTGTTATATCGACATGGGTTCATTGTCCAAACTGAAAAGTCCAAGCATCATAGCCATTAACATAACATTGGCTCCTGAAGTTTTCAATCAACTATTGGTCCACTCCTATATCAAGACGTTACACTAGACACATGTCTACGTATTTCTCTCGAAATACTATTATTTTATATGGTTGCAAATTTAGTATTGCTGTTTTTAGGCCTGGAATCCCTAAAACCTTCCAAATAAACAGGTATTTTTATTAGTAAATACTAAATATAAAAGATTCCCAACATAAAGTTAAATTCTTTTAACCGGTAAGATTTTCCCAATTATTCTTCCATGCCTATTAGACCTCGAATATAAGACATTCTAAATTTCAAACGTGACAGCACCCAATTGGCGTGCTTTTCTGAGTCTAGTAAAACAAAAATGATAAAAAAAAATTAATCAATTAGCCTGAAACCGATACAATACACATGCTATGATTAGTTCAGTAATGCAAAAGGCCACATGATAACAGGATATGCTAAACCACTTCCTTCCCATCCCCATCCACCTGAACAAGGAAACAAAAAATAAATAAAATAAAAATAAGGCGAGTGCATTCTCATATGGTTATTGTCAAAGGACATGGAATGAGCTTCAAGGCAGGTAAATAAAGAAGATAAAACATTGTACTTTCATAAAAAGTTGTTAGTACCTTGCAACTTCTACAAACTCAGCTATAATGTTGTGCCTCCGCCATCGGACATCAGAGAGGCAGCTGCTGCTGCAGCAGTAGGAACAACTCCCATTGAAACACCAGGTTTTGAAAGATGGAGTAGCCTGAAAATTAAACTGATTTTGATTAGTCTCCACATTATATATAAATTATAGTAAATCAAAACAAGGATAAGAAAAGAAGAAAATAATCAAGATGCAACTATGTCAAGGCAAAAATTCAGAGACCACCAATCGGCAGCACTTAAGACAATTAAATAATTTGGATGCCCATAAATATGCTTTCTATGCACTATAAAAATTTCACACATGTAAATCACATAGGTCAGCAAGTTACTAATGTCTACATTATCAATTGAGCCCTTTTTAGCAAAATTCCAACCAGTTCACAAATAGCATCAATCATTGAACATATTCAGGGAACACATTACTAAATGCACAAGGCTAGGCTGGATATATATAGTCAGGATCTCAAAAAACATTCTGTTTCTTTCGTGGACTGTAACTCCTAACTTAAAGAGGACTTGAAATTCTGAATCTAAGAGCCAAGGTACATTTACAAGCAGGAAAATGAAAATAATATGAAGGCACTTACGGTGCAAGATATTCACAAAAAGATGATACAGCGGCCACAACCTCATTGTAGTTCTCAGATGATGCAGGGGCTGTCACTTCAACCAGCTGTATACCAGGTGTTACAGGCACTGCTTCATCGGTTGCATGCAGTTTCAGCATTTTATTAACTGAAGACACCGTAACAGTTATTTGAGCTCCCCTTTGGAAATGGAAGGCAAATCCCACCCTCAGCAGCTCATGGTCTAACTTGTAGCCAAGCGAGTAAAACAAGCGGAGTGCATTCTTGCTTACTTTACTTTCTGTCAAAGTCCTCACCAGCACTGAAATTTGCTCTGCGCCAGCACCTCTCATTGCACCCCCAATGTGTCGGACAGTCCTGAGCATTCTCTAATATCAATACACACTGAATAAACAGTCAATGATAAAAACACCTAGCAGCTCAGACCCAATTTCTTACCATGTCGGTTCAGGCTGCTCAAGATCACATAAGAGTCGAACCTCTGAAGCTACTAACCCTGAGAAGAGAAGAGAGCACGCCTTTATGTTTAGTAATTATCAAGTGAGTTAGGCAAACAATTCAAATAAATGTATCGTTGCGATGGCGACAATAACATTTCATGTCATCAAGATTAGAAGAAATCTGATAGCCAATTATATGCAAATTGGCAGACCAAATTAAGGGGTTGTTGCAATATTGACAATTAGATGTTGTGTCACCAAGATTATAAGAAATCTAATAGCCATTGTAAGCGAATTTCAATTGATGAAACAAGAAAGATAATTGGCAAATAATTGGTTCAGATAGCTAAATACTCCATATAGATCTCACTATAAATGTACAGTAGAGGAAATCATTTTACTCAAACACAATTCTAATTGCTTAGACCTAACTAGAAGTTGAAATAAAAATTAATTACCTAGATTTGGACTGCTTTTGAGACATAGTTCATGGATCTTTAAACGCTCTCTATGAACTCCACAAAGTCCTTGAAGAAGGATCTCCAGGGCCTCAACATGCTGCATGATAGCATCTTATGCATTATAAATATGATACCTCGAGCGCAGGAAAAAAATTTCAAATGGAAGAGAAAATCAACAAAAACAAAATCTTCCAGCACTTTCACCAAATATAAATTATAATATTGATTACCACCATAGTTTACATCGTCACGAACATAATAAAATTCGTTTGTTTTATCATAATGGACATCAAGCCGTAGAAAACTTACTAGCCTTTCTTTGTCTTGCAATGCTTGATTGATATGATTAGAATATTTTCCAATTTACAACATATGACAAAGTAAAATCTTTCTTCTTCTTCCTAGTAGACATGGTGATGGTGGTGGACACAAGAGTCATCTGGAAATGATTGGCGCCAAGAAAATACTCAAATCAATTTATTTTTTAAAAAAGAAGGCAAAATTATTAAAAAATCCACAAAAAAAAATATTTTCCTAAATTTTAAAAAAATATTTTCCTAAATTTTAACACAAGCAAAATGCTCTGGAACTTGGAACAACATTAAGCACCGAGACCTAGCCATAAGAGTAAATCAAGGTAAAGAAAAACATATACAACACACCCAAAGATCAAATTTGAATTTCGTTTTTACTCAGGAACTAAATATAAACAAAGTAAGATGATTTCTAATTATTAAATTCTCAAATGAAAATGCAGAAATAGAAATTTACCTGAGTCTCTATAATGCCCTGAACCACGCACTCCATTCTGATTACGATCTCTGTATTCGTTAATTCGACTCGAAGAGTGAACTACGAAGTTAGGGTATTTTTTTTTTTTTGGATGGGCGAAGTTAGGGTATTGAATGTAAGCTTATTGATGTATTTTTAAAATTTTTTAAAGTGTATTGAATTAAAAAATTTAGAAGTCTTTATATACTTTGGGGTATTCAAATTTTAATGACTTTTAAACACTTTTATAAAGGTTTTGGTACTAACTTTTAAACAAATAATATAAAAATAAAATCTCAAAATTTGTCTATTATTGATCACAAAATTTTGAGAAACTTTTACAAAAAAATAATATATATATATATATTTCAATATTTCTCCTTTTCTTATACGACGTTGGAGGTATAATTAATTTTTTTTATTGATTATATTAGTTTCTATTTTTTTTTTTTTTTTTTTCTCTCATTGTTTATTTCTATTTTCTATAATTTCATGCACTTTTTGTGTATTATATTAGTTTCTATTTTTTTCTTTTCCTCTCTCTCATTGTTTATTTCTATTTTCTATAATTTCATTCACTTTTTGTGAAAAATATCTATTTTTAATTAAATTATAACATTTTATATAGATTAATTTATAATTAGATATAAATATATTTAATTTTTATTTAAAGGTGTATTATTTTAATAATATTGAATATTAAATTTATTTTTTATATTATTATTATTATTTAATTAATTAAAGTCTTAAAATTTTATCCTTTTCAAAATATTTTTTTATCATACGAGAAGGGAAAAAAGAAGGAGAATTGTAGGAATCACAATCTCGTATGTGATAATATTACACTATTGCACTAGATTCACATAAATTCTATTTTAAATGAAAGTTTTCAAAAAAAAAAATTTAATTCTATAAAAGTTTATAGAAGTATTAAATAGTTTGTTTGTTTCCCATTTTTATAATAAGAATGCATTTTGGAATAATAGATTGATGGAGAATGTGTGGCTAAAAATAAGAAATATTTTTGAATTTGCTTGTAATATTATTTTATTGAAAAATGTGTAATCGAAAAGAAGATAGAGAAAAATGTATTTTAAGAAAAATGAGTATCAAATAAGGGTAAAATGAAAGTCTATAGAAGTCTACAAAAGACTTTCACTAATTCCATACAAATTTATAAAAAATCTACGAAATCCACATAGGTCATCACTTAAAAAAGTCCATCAAAATTTTCAAAAGACCTAAATGAGAGAAATTAAGGCATGTTTGTCCGAGTTTATAATTAGGCCTTGTTTGAACCCATTATTTGGCAAAAGAATACATTTTTGAATAGTGATTAATAGATAATGAGATTTAAAAAATAAGGAAAATTTTTGAATTTGTGTGTAATATTATTTTATTAAAAAATATGTGGTTAAAAAGAATAGAGGAAAAAATGTATTTTGAAAATAATAGGGATCAAACAAGGACTTAATATGTTTACTATTAAGTAAACAAGTAAATTTCAAAATAAAATTTTTAATTAAATACTTCATTGACCACTGAACTTATATCTATGTCATGATTTACTCACTGAATTTTAAAATGCTTCGAAATAATAACTAAACTTTAACACATTGTACTCCACCACTTAATCACTATGTTTCATTAATCATTGAACTTATACTTTCGTCACACTTTATTCATTGAACTTATACTTATGTCACGCTTTACTTATTGAACTTTAAAATGGTTTTGAGTGGTTACACAACTTTACGAATTTTGAAGTCAACAGATTACATTAACTATCTTGACGTAGTCTTACTGTAAATTTTTTTAAAACATGGGTGTCAAGTTTAGCCCTCACAAGCCCCGATCCAATTCTCTTACCACCTCAACCACACTAGATTGAAGCATCAACATTGCCTATGTTCCAAATGTTGATATTGTAGCCTCCGTTTGGGAAGAATTCACAAATAGTTTAATTTATAAATAGATAAAAATGAGTGACGAATAAGTGGATAATACTTGTGAATTCGCGACAACACTTCACCTTTTTTATTGGTCTGGTGAAGATAGTTTTTATCATTGAAGTTTGCACACATAAAATTTGTTCCATGTTTTGAAAGGGGATGGCCTTCTGCCAAAAGTTCTCAGTTTGTACATACTACATAGCCATTAATCGTACCTTTAAATAAATTTTTTTTATTAAGTAAATAGATTGTATTGACAAGAAATTAAGAACGAACTTACAAAATAGGTAACTCATATTCTTAAAATGAGGAAATGTCGCATACTTAAAACATGTTTGAAATGAAGAGCAACATAAAAATAACTTACTTATTTTTAAACCTTAGCAGAACATAAGCCAGGTCCTTGTTGTCTTATCACTAATTGAAGGAATATCTTTAAAAAAAAAAAAATTATGAATTTTTCTTTGTGATCTACTCTCTAGTCTCTACATTGAAGTTTGGAGCTAGCTAGGTTGAATTAAATATAAATTTTATAGGTTTATGGAACAAAATATTAAGGTTTTTGCCTTTTATAAATTAAATAAAACTAAAAAACTTTCATTATGAATGAAACTTGAAACATATGAAAAGCAAATACAGAGAGCGAAGCTTTGAAAGAGATGAAACAATATATAGTGGACACGATTTCAGTGTACAAATCCATCTACCATCCTTGAACTGGCCACCTTTGATGAGGATTGGGGAGCCAAGAAGACCGCCTTTTCTTAGCCTTTTCTGCCCCTCGTGGTGTGGTGGTTTGTCCATCAATCATTTTCTTGAAAGAAAAGACCTTCATAACACAACTCCAAGCTCTCCTCCTCATCGAACAGCCAGTATTTGATTCATAGCGTGTAGATTCAGAAAGCCTTTCGTAAGAAGTAATTCTTGCAACATCTGAAGCCACCAATGAACTGTTGGATCTCCCAACTCTTTTTGATGGGCACCTAATTTCATCAAACCTCAAGCTCAAGCTCCCACAGAAAATGTTCATTTTCTTTTCCAGTCTTTTCATTTATTTGTATTCATTTTCGAAGTTGTTGCTCAGAAATAAATATAAACAGAGTTGGTTAGGCGTGCAGTTGACTCCAAGTTCGCTTGGTTAATTAAAATGAGAGTAGCGCGGCAAACAGCACTTCGAGTACGGATTCAGCATAAAGAGACGAGTTTGTGGGCCTACATATATAATTAAATGAAAATTTCGTAAAATCAGAATTTTTAAGTTAACACTTTAAAAGTCAGATTTAAAGTTTATTTCTACAAAATTCAGAACATAATTTAAATATTAATAATAATATTTTAAAACTAAATTAATCTATATACCCATCCCTATCCACCCAGACCCTAATTTTATCCTCTCTCCCTCCTCTTTCTACATCTCTCTCTTCTCTCCTTCCTCTCTCTAAGATGCCGACTGTGAGTTGATGGCGGTTAAGGAGTGTTGTCGATTTTTGATATGATATGTTGGTGGTGGTGGCGGCGATGATTGTGACAATCACAACTTATCAAATTCGCGACGATGGTCTTGTTGTCGGGATGTGATGTTAGTGGTTCTGACTTTTGGTTCAACATTAATATTTTGATATTACAGATTTTTTAATTCATTTCAAATGAAACATCATAGCAGAAAAAATGTATGAAATTTAGAATGATTGGGGGTGTTAAATTAAAACTAATTACTATAAAAAAAATTATTTCATGTATATATGAAATAACTTGAACTATTAATATTTTAAAATATTAAATTTTGAAGCCATGTACATTAATGTTTTCTCTTTAATGTATGTATGTGTGTGCCTTTTTGTGTGCTTACATGTAATATAGGAAAATATAATAATCCCCTCGCCACGTGAGAGAGATGTAAAAGATTGTGTAAAAGTGTGTGTACATGTAGCATTATCCATATAAAATACTCTATAAATTAATAAATATTCATTTATCGATAAATTAATAACTGAATAAAATAATAATTTTTTTCAATCCCAACATTATTATTTTTAATAGCAAAAAATGAGGGTGATCTCATGCAAATAATAAAAAAAAAAGTATAGATCTACCAGTCTTTCTTGATCGATTGTCCCATGGCATTTCGTTGTTGGTTGGGCTACAGAATTGTGGACCACGTTGGTCATTTGTTACTTCTTCAATTTCCACCTACCGTCCACGCCTTTCCAAACCGGTGTGACGTGTCATCAGAATTGAATAATATCTTCATTAGTATGAAATTTTATCACCATGTCATTTTCACTATAATAGTTTAAAAGGTGCTCGACATTCATCACATTCTTATAGCTATCGTAGACAAAAAGTAGTTTCATTACAATCCATTTATTCATTCACCTCCACTATCTTTTGGTTCAACATTAGTATCTTAATTTTGCAGATTTTTTAATTCATTTCAAATGAAACATCATAGCAGAAAAATGTATGAAATTTAGAATGACAGGGGGTGTTAAGTTAAAACTAATTATTGTAAAAATTGTATTCCATGTATACATGAAATAACTTGAACGATTAATATTTTAAAATATTAAATTTTGATGCCATGTACATTAATGTTTTCTCTTTAATGTATGTATGTGTACATTTTTGTGTACTTACATGCAATAGGAAAATATAATAAAAATATAAAATACTCTATAAATTAATAAATATTCATTTATCGATAAATTAATAACCAAGTAAAAAAAAAAAAAATTCAATCCCAACATTATTATTTTATAGAGATTTTAGTGTACATTAAATATAGATTTTACCAGTGTTCTAAAATGCGTAATGCGTTGCGATACGTCAAGGTCAAGAATCAAGAATCACAAGTTTAGACGTGTCAATGCGAATAATAAGCGCCATAATACGTTTCGTATTTTTAAGGCATTAAATATATTTTTATATAAAAAAAATAGATTTTTTAATATATCATAAAAAAAAATAGATTAAAAAAAGGGGGGGAATTAGGCGCGCCTAGGCAAGCATAGGCGCACATTATTTCCGCTTTTTAGATAGAAAACGCATTTTTCGCGCATTTCCCGAATTCGACGCGTTTTCGACCCTTGTCGCGCCTAAGCGGCGCACTTCGGCGCATTTTAGAACATGGGATTTTACCGTATATTAAATTTTTAAGTCATGTACATTAATGTTTCTTCTTTAATATATGTATGTGTGTGCCTTTTTTTGTACTTTCATGTAATATAGGAAAATATAATAATTCATTTATCGATAAATTAATAACCGAGTAAAAAAAATAAATTTTTTCAATCCCAACATTATTATTTTATAGTGACTGTTACGGGCTTTCTGAGGCCCTCCACCTCATCCGTCATGTGTTGGCCGAATTGATCTGGTGTTGCCATGTGGCAGACGAACTGAATTCATGTCGGACGAACTGATTCCATAACTCCGAGCTGAAACACTATTGCCCCACCCCGTAGAAGAATCGAACTCATCTGTCATTCACGGTGGTTGCAAAGGCCCGCACTCCGCATTCGTTATGCCTCACAATCCGCATCACCACACCTCTACCAAGATCTTTTGTGAGGAGATCTATCCAAAGTTAAGTCCCTGACTGAATGATAAAACGTGTGACAAGCTACAAACGGTCAACTCAGTGCTATGTCAGAAATCATTTAATACATGTCAACCTATGGATTGACGGATTGACACCTATGAAAGGCTGACTCATCTAGGATCCGAAGCCACGTGTCCCCCCATCCAACGGTTCTCCTCTTCCATTCTCTAATATAAATACCCCACACAATGGTAAGGTAGAGGTCCCTATTCAAATCTTTGCATTATAGTCTTTTAACTTTAAGGGGCATTCCACTATATTTACCCATGCTTTCAACCACGTCCTGGCAACCACTTCACCGTCGGGCACCACTTTTTGGTTGACTGAAATACTGACTTGATCGTCAGAGTGTTCACGAACGCCTCCAACCCCTCCGGAAAAAGGCCACGAGTGACTGAAGGTGTGATATCGTGCGCAGGAAGAGCATACGTGAAGATTTATCCCGTTGGCCACGTGTTCGAGCCATTTTTCGAGGTCAACAGAGGTTTTACTATAATAGCAAAAAATGAGGGTGATCTCATGCAGTATAGATCTACATTCTTTCTTGATCGATTGTCCCATGGCATTTCGTTGTTGGTCGGGCTACAGAAGTGTGGACCACGTTGGTCATTTGTTACTTCAATTTTCTACCTACCGTCCACGCCTCTCCAAACCGGTGTGACGTATCTTCAGACTTGTACCTTAGTACCTACCATCTCTCAATCCTTTTTTTTTAGTCATTGCACATCACCAGAATTCCATCGCCATGTCTCCAATTTTTGTGTCGTATTCGACCCCTAGGTCACACCGTTAACTACATTTTTCGGCATTTACATTTGATAGCTGTGGGTCCAGGCCCAACTAAATTGTCTAGCTTATAATTAATTTCTATAATTTAACATGCACTGGCTACAGCTGTGGAATTTGCTGTGAATAGATGTTTCGAGAAAACTCAACTCAATTTTACTGATCAAACAACACGAATATATAAAGTGTATACAAGATAAATTTATCTACCTCTATATGCGATACAATATACATTTATATGAAATACAAGAGACATTTATCTTCTAGATTTATATGGTAAGATAGAGATATGAGAGATCTTTAGTTTTTAAACTTTTATGGTGCGATATATACAAGAGACATTTATCTTCTAGACGTCTACGATACAAAATATACGAGAGACCTTCATCTCCTAGACTTCTATGATATGATAGATAGAACTCAGAAGTGATAACAATTACAGTCATATATAATTGTCTATAACAAATATAATCGAAGAAGTATTGTCTCTAATAACATCGCGATGCTTTGCAACTTCTAAATTATAAAAATCGACGTTCATCTTGGTTGGTTCGGCAGTTATTGGATGGACCTCAAAAAAAAAATAAAATTGAATCTTGGCATTTCAACTGCTACTTTTATGTACACGGACACATTTAGAGGTGTCAAGACGGACGGGCCGGCCATGACCCGTGAAAACTGGGACCGCGGGCCGACCCGTAACCCGTGCGGGCGGTTCA